ATCTCCACCCGAACATAACGTTGACACGCCACACTGAAACGCAAGACAGCATCGCCTTTTTGGATGTGGAAGTTTCACATCGAACCGATGGATCAATCAGAAGATCTGTGTACCGGAAGGATACATGGTCCGGACAATATCTCCATTTTACCAGCTTTGCTCCAATGGGATATAAGATTGGTCTAGTTCGAACGCTATTCTACAGGGCGCGGCTAATTTGCACAGCGGATACATTAGATACCGAATATGAAAAGATTAGAAAAGTTCTACACTCTAACGGATATCCGAAAGGGTTCATCTCAAAGCACTCTCGACCTAACCATACTCGGGAAAAGATACCAACTGCAGATAAGATGAGAGTGGTCCTGCAATTGCCCTTCAAAAGTGCCTGATTACCAAGAGCCTAAAATCGGCTGTTGAGCGGACCTACTACGCAGCTGACCCCATTGTTGTTTTTACAACCGCCCGGTTGCCAATACCATCGTTGAAAGAACCGCTATCTCTCCACGCCAAATCTAATTGTATCCATCAGTTCAAGTGTGGACGCTCGGCTATCTACATCGCCAGAACGGAGAGACAACTGCGTTATCGAGTAACCGAGCACATCCCGGTCTAGCTTCAGAAAACAATGAGTGGAAACTTCGGAAGTATGAGGTCACCAATGACGCGTAGGAACCTCAGTTCGTCGATCACACAACACCTGGTCGAAAAGAAACAGTGTCATTCTGCGCGATGAATTCAGGATCCTCTACAACACAAACAACACCAAGGTTCTGAAATACGCCGAGGCACTAGCCATTCAAAATTATCATCCCAAACTATGTAAACAGCGTGAATGGCTTATCACTCTGGCGCTACCTTGGTAAGAAACGTGTTTGGTGAGTAATTTTGACCGCAGTCTTTCTCCGCCTATGATTCTGTTATTTATTGACCATATATTAATGATCACATAGACTGCAGTGTGCACGTGTACAGATGCAGCGAAATTATCCAGGATACATTGTGCAAACCTGTGTTTTTGGCTTCTTTATTCAAATTCGTTACGGGGAAACTATGCTTCCAAAATCTCAGTATAATAATCCTCGTAAGAAACGAATAAGTCCCTGATTTGTTCGTGTGTAGAAGACTATCGGGTTTCCCAGGCCAAGTCAGGTGAATTTTCTTGGGTAATCCACAACCGGAGCCTTCGGTTAGCCAAAGCCTGTCACGCTTCGAATTGGAGGGTGGTGCGAAAACCGCAATCTGTGCGGGCCGGTGTCCAGTTCGTCGGATCATGCGCTTTGTGGATGAGGTCGAACGTCAGAGATGCTCAACACCTCCAATCTGGGCACAACTTAGTGGATCGAAATCTTATCTGCTTTGAATAAAGTATAAGCATGGAATTCATGCTGCTTTCTTTTCTTGTCCCCGTGTATAGAACGTAAATAGAGATAAAGATATTTCGACGGATAAAGAAGATTAAATTACCAAGAACTGAAACTGTTTACGGGTCAATATATCATTATTTATTCAGGAGAGTAAGTTTGTTCACGTCTGTATGCGGAAGGGTAAGATATAATTATTACGCGAATGAACATATGAGCTAATTTTGCATCTAAGCTCGAAATTCCTTATAACCGTAAATAGAAAGGCAACTAAAAGTTCGTACTCTTTTTGTTTCCTAAGTGCAAAAGGGTGCATGTAGTTAGCGCGTCAAAAAAGATCAGCTGTATCTTTTCGCACCGAGGTATTCTCACAAAAGGGCTAATCGCATGAAGTGAGTAAGCAGACATGAGTTTAAGCCAAAGTTGTGGTAAGGATTGTGAAAATTCCGATATAACGTGGGAGTATTTTTTACGGAAAATGCAACAGATTTCAGGCTAACATCCACGGAGCTTCATGGGATACTCACCTTACTACAACTGACCCCCGTAGAAGGATATGCTACTCTCATGAAGATCGTGACGTTTCATAGGATTTATGTGTAGCGGACATTTCCTGTGACAACCACTGTTTTGCGAGTGTGCGCCTTTAGGCTTGGCACAACCGAATGCGGACTGTACATGTTCGTGCATGATCGTCATTGACTGTCTGGGAGCTCATCTGCCATTCGATAGAGGTGGATTCACTTCCCTTTGGTTGGACAAATTTCGTCTTTGGTTGTTGAATCAGCTATAAGATTTCGTCCACGAAGCAGTTTCTCTTTCTCATTGTCAACAATATTTATCGTGCTACCGTCTTGGTTGCCGTCCTTCGGTTATCCATTTAGTTAACCAACGAGGAATGGGCAAACGGAGATTACTATTCAGATAAAAATGTAGAAAGCAAGTAAACTAGATTTGTGCAGAAAGTGAATAGATACACAATCGTCACTGTTTATGACACTCAATCATAACATCCAATGTCTCTTGTCATTGATCAGTTTGGTCATGTGAACCCTAACCAAGAAACCTAATGCGAACCTAACGAACGAATCATGTGGGACTCATCACTGTTTGGCCACTTATTGCCTTCCTCCAACTTCTGCCAGTCTCGGCAAACATTGCATACCGGGGGAGTCTATCCGGTGATATGCATGAGGAATCGATGGGGGGAGCTATCATTGCCGGCAGTAAGCCATCTTGGTAGGGTTTGAGTCCTTGGTTCCCCTCAAACTAGTTTGCCCAGCTGAGAAAGTGATAGTTGACGCATGTTTCTTCACCCATACTGGAGCCACGGATTAAAGGTGAACTCCTATTCTTATCAGATAATCGTTGCACCTATTCACGGGACATATGTCCGATTGCGTGAAAAGTCAGTTCGACAGGCCAAATTTAAAGACGATACACGCAGAGTTAGCACACAACGTGTGGGTAATAACAAGTTGGAAGGGGAGAAAATGAGAGTAACTTCTTGCGTGCCTAAGTGGTTTGAGAAAGTTCTCTATATGGTTATTTGTTCAACAGCAGAATTCTTAAAACCGTTAACAAGAGACATTTTGAACCACATAACGTTACAAAAAGACAGATTTTTATTACAACCCAAACAAAGAATCACAGATTCATAATCAGACACTGAATGTCGTTTGCTTTTCGGAAAATATGAGAAGGAAGAATTGTTTGAGTGCGTAGCTGTGTGCGTGTGTCTGTGTCACGTTGTGGGGAAAACGGGATGCAAAAGACAGTAGGCAAAACCGTTCAGTGTCGAGAGACTCCTGAGAGTCGAAGCAACTTGTTTCCGTTGGCCACCAGCTCAGCCAAAGTGACACGTCCACGTCTGGTAATAAACTGAGCCACGGCCTCATACTCGTCATCCGTAATGTACACAAATTTACCCCGGTCATCCAATAGGCCTGTTAATTGTCCCGAAGCGAGCAGACTTTTTAATTTCTCGATACATGCCTGAATGTAAAACAATAACAAGGGAGGGAAAGAAAACTATTACCAACGAGAAAGTTCTTACTCACGAAGGGCCTATTGTTCGATTAGGAATGCGACAATCAAGCTCTTGGAACCTGGGACACCAGTCCATAAAAGGCTCCAGTTGAATAGGTCAGTTGTAGTGAAATATTACCAGCAATTTCCAACTGGTCATTATATCAAATGCTATCTCCACTAATCAGTTATCCTATTTTAAATTGTAGCTAGCGGTTCGTTAACGAGATGGACGAGGCCTCATGAAAAGATCTTTTTCGTTCTCAACTCTGGCTCCCGAATCGATCGAAGATTTATCACACGTGGTATTGAGCAGGGCCAGGAAAAAGCAGAGCTCCATTCTACCTAGAACATCCCGAGGTCGCGGAAAGGAGAACGGCCATCAATCTGGTGGCTGGCCGTGAATGAGGCAGGGAAAGGGAAACCAAATAAGCGGTGGTAGTACTCGCGGACGTGATGGATTTTTCTGCGGCCAGCGTTCTCCCTCGAACAAGCCAAAGGAGTTGGAAGACGGTACTGTGAGGTGGTGATGGCGTCGCGCCACCAAACAATTACTGCCTCTTGTATCCTCGTGAGACACTGTGTACCATCTGAGGAGTACAAACTGAAATCCTCATTATTTTGGACACCCTAGAGTAGTTTCAGTAACAGCTTGAACAACCATTAACTATACACTTTCGTGAGCCGGTTTTCGTTTCCGTCTTTTGGCTGCTCATTTAGAGGAAGCAATAGGAGAAAGATCGGAAAGTTGAAAGTAGAGTCAAAGAGAAAACGGTAAATTTCAATGGACTAGGGTTCCAAGAAAAGTAAAAAGATGCATGAACGACTCTGTTTATGACACTCAGCCACATCTAATCAGTGGTCACATTGACTACAATGATCCCGAGGTCCATATCCAGGGAGCCCCATGCGACCTACATGACCGAGTCTCCTGGTCAGGGTTTTCATACTCTCATGCCATGTCTTATTTTGACTACCCTTGTGGTTTTTCTACCCACTACCTGTCTCGACAAACACCGCGCACCGTGGCAATCCACTTGGTGGCATGCATAACACACGCCCCAACTAATGTATTCTATGGAGGTCGTTCACTTACCCCAGCGGTAGACCGCGATTACTTAAAACTCTGTACCTAACCTCAGCATTGCTCGTCCGGTTGCGTCGCCAGATTCGTGCTATGCAGCGTAGACAGCGGCGTTCAAACACCGACGATCCATATTTATCTTGTTTTCGTGATAGCCGAGTTTCTGCGCCGTATAGCAGCACTGGCCGAACTGCTGCAGCAAATACTCGACCCTTCGCAGACATCTGGCGACAGAGATAGCTCAAGTTGACAAATGCTAACAGAGCCTTGTGGATGCTCCCTGACACTTCATCCGTGATGCGTTCACCAGGTGAGATATACCTGCTCAAATAGCAAAATTTTTTCTACTTTTTCCACCACTTTTCCAGTTGTATGGCAGCCCCCTGATTGACCGCTTCTCCCCTCCTGAAAATTGTTTCCTTCTATGCACAATAAAGGGAATTGAAATAAAACGATAAAAGATAAGGCGTTTTCAGTGGTTTACAAAGTAATAAATGACGACACCCTAATCCTAAATATCGGACGACAGGAAGGACTTCAAACCAGCTTGTTCTTACCCCAATATTTACTCTGCCCACGTTCCCACCAACCAAATCTGGTCCCAGACCATCTTAGAAGGACTAAAGCGCCAGAAGAAATTGTTAAATAAACCAAGGTGTAGGTAACATAATATTGCGGAGATGGTTTCTATCCTATATTAAGGTATTCACTGTACGAGATGGGGGCACAAATTAACGAAACTTGTGTGAAAATGATCGCGCAATGGGACGTAACGCGTGATTCGTATTTTGTGGCATATCACTGGGGTGTTGAAAAGAAAAAATCAAACCTAAGCACGCACTCACTTCAGTTTTCATACCAAATTCGAGAGCTAGATGTTCGATCGAGATTATTTTAGCCGACTGAATGGTCGAGATCAGAAGAGCGTTGAATTCGGCTTCGGCTTTCCCGTCCCGTGGAATAGCTTCCGTCCCTTCTTCCTCAATGCTGAACTCTTTTTTCAAACGTTCATATTCTGCCTGTTCACGAGCCTCTTCTTCCGCTCGCCGTTTGGCCTCTTCAGCAGCCTATGAATAGAGCACAAAAATAAGTTCTTACCGGTCTAATTAGCGCCGTTGTAAAAGCATCAAAACAGGCAAACTAGAAAAATAGATTCATGTTAAAGGTGAATAGATATTCAGTATAGTGTGGTTTATCCAACCCTTATCCTCGCACTTTTGTGTAGCGATTTTGGTTGTTACCTTGTGATTGCTTATTTAGATGGAGTAGAGGGGAGAATTAGAATTCTGGAAGTAGTATCAAGCTAGAGACAGATAATTCGTGTAGACTCAAGTTGCGAAAAANGAAAAAAATGATTTGGTGAATCAGCGGCACTGTCTACGAAACTCAGCAATACCATGCAAGATCTACAACAATCGATGGTACGGATTCTGAAGTCACCAACCAGGAGGTCCAACGCGACCCCCATGGCCAAATGCTCTCGGGGGAGGGGGTAATAGTTTTCCTACCCATAAATTTTTTCCATCCAATACCCACCTCGACTAGAATTGCAGGTCGAAGATGCCTATTAGGTACGATGGAAAACATATGCCTTAGTCAACATATTCTATGGATGTTGAATATTTGTGCCGCAAGACCACGGCCACTGCTTCAAACTCCTCACTTCAACGCAGGGGGGATGACCGAACCACCTGCGGTGGGTCCTACAGACTTTCCCCGTAAGGCCCTCGGGTTTTGGTTTAGTGTTTTGTTCGCTAATGCGCTGAGTGTCGGTCAGCCCTTCGGGATCGGCCGTTCGTTCGATGATCCCAATTAAACTGGTGGGACGTAGACCTTATTGGCTGGGGCTGTCCAATTTATGGAAGTTGCAGCGATACACGAAGACATCTCCCACCGTCGCGAGCAAGACTCAAGTATATCGATCCTACGTTCGATTGGCGAAATTTCTGAGCAGCAAACTGCTGTTTACCGTGTTTCCTTCAGGGGTGAAAGGTGAAGACAAAAAGAAGCTAAGAGGTGCCAATAAGCTGACCTTGTGAGAATGAGCTTTGGCTGACTTTCACGTATAGACCTTTCAGGTCTCATTGAGTCTGCAACTGAGAGGCCATACTGTACAGCATGCAAGGTCATGGAGGCCCGCAATCCACTACACCACGTCAATGTACAGTCTCGTTGTGATGGACGGATGCATCAGAACCGTTAATCACAGAAACTGACTATACCCGTCAATAGCACAAGTCGTAACAAGATCAATGAGATAACGTGGATGATAGCGATCGACTGAAACAGTTGAGTGTATGACTCCAAACATTTGTTCCAGTATAACCTCATGAAAATAGATAACAGCCTTTCTGCTGCAGAGCGTAAAAAGCACAACCCAATGGACCAGGACCTCTAACTGTAGTAATGGGCACTGAAATTGGGACAACAAAACGGTTATCCGGAGTGTGTGAATGAATGTGTTTATGTCACAGTATATGGCTATATGGAAAAGTTATCGGGCTATTTGTGCTCGCATGGTTACGCGAACTACAAACCGAAGCGAAACCCATGATTGTCGTGAAGTGTTGACTGATTCTACGAAGAACTTATTCCACACTCCATTGTCGCTTTTGGTATCAATCCACAGAGAAATTCAAACTACCAAATGTACCTTGGTCCATTCACATCTAAAAAGCTGTCAATATTCACAGACTAACGGGAAATAACTCGTGAGTACAGAGATGCATGTTGCCAAAAGCGTCCTCGAAAAAACACTAAAGAGACAAAAACAGACATCAAAATGTGTAAGGTGAAACAAATGGAAACCCGCCGTAGTTGTTGATGATAATGATCTCTGCAATCGGTTTCTCTCCATTATCATTCCCCTTAACCATTTACATTCTTATCTCGTTGGTAATATGTTTTCTATTAATTTGGTGTCAAATATATAACGCTAAATAAAAATCAAAACAGCTATGATGGTTGTGAAAGTTGCTCTAACTCTTGTTTTTCATGGCTTAATCTCCCTAGTATCCATACTCAACTTCTCCGGAATACCTAAATCTATCAGCTGGTTCTAATTGATCGCAACAAAGTTTCAGTGCCTGCACAAACTCCCATTCCTCTCGCAGAAATGCCTTGCAGCCAATTTCATGGCATCAATCGGGTTGGTAGAAAGAACAATAGTGGAGATCAAAAACCCACGGAATGGTTGACTCAAGACCCTGATAAAAATGATCAAGGGTCATGAAGAGCAATGTTCTAGCATTTACTCTCTTTCCTTATTTATATCACTTTCACATTTGTCGTGGGCTTCACTGCGTCCGTTGTATTATCATTTGATTTGACCGCGAAAGCGAAACTAAATACCAAGGTACTCGACTGTTAAGTTCGTTGCTGCAAGACGATAGAAACTTTAAACTTACAGCAGCCGCAGCAGCTTGCTCTTCAGCCTCTTCTGCCTTTTTCCGTTTTTCTATTTCCTGATCTTCAAGCTTTCTTTGGTGTTCCCTGTATCGCTCCTCAGCTTCACGCTCCTCTTTTCTCCGCTCCTTTTCGGCAAGTTTTGCTGCTTTCTTTGTTCCTATTTTTTTCTTTGCTGGCTCCTGGTCAGCCCGTTCTCTCTCCGAGTCTGTAGAATCCTCAGGTTGAGCATGAGTTCTTGGATTTGCTCGTCTCACAACCCGAGCATCAGCATCCTCCTCATCCTCCTCAGCATCTGTACGCATACGTGCAGCAAGGCGACGATGCATCGGTTGGTTTCTCCGCGCTCCAGCCGTTGGAGCTACCGGCCGTCGGCGAATACGGGTCCCGCCTAGGTAAATCATTACCACGGATATTTGAAATGAGTGAATATCGGAAATGTCTGTTGTGTTGAAAAAATTAAATACTACTGGTTGTTGGACTGCTATCGTGATTTATAGTGGAAATCGGACGAGCAAGAACAGTCAACAATCTAACTTTTTAGAAGAAATGGGAGGACAAGAGAATCAATGTAATCTTTTTTTGATCGGGTTAAACGGGAGGCCACCCGACCAACGATCCCTCTTCAGTCACCAATATGCGGTCATTTTCCCGTAGCCAGATAAATGCTTCACTATCTTTTATCCGTTAGTATGAGTTCGATTTCTGTTCTTTAGAACTCACTTCCACCGTCCCCGACCATGCTCATTTTTCTTCCTTCACCTCGGGCGCGGGTGACAAGTCACCCCGGTCAGGTTTCGCCCGCAGATGTCGAACTTTTAGATTACAATCACCCCCTGGCATCAAACTGATGAACTATATAGCGCTATTTCTCTATCTGCATTTTCAACCATCGACAAGCTTTCCCTCTGCCAAAACAGAATCATAAAACTGATTCTAAATTAAATGCTTTGATACCCACTCCCCATCTGCAGGTATTTTATCATGGATTTTATACTTCTTGCAAAAACAACTTGTATGATAAATTCACGATGCAAAATGAATAGCCACGGCAAGAAACAATAGCACCCGCTACAAAGGAAGGTGAAAACTTCACCGCTGAAGGAACGACACATTTTCTTATCAGCCGTGTTCGTCGGAAATACCTTCATCTTGTGGCTAATCATTCCTTAGCATCAAAGTTTAAATAATTTACCGAGTGAAATGAGATCGCCTCCCTATCCTACAGCACAGAAACTTGACTATCACAAAAATAAGATAAATATGGATCGTCGGTGTTTGAACGCCGCTGTCTACGCTGCATAGCACGAATCTGGCGACGCAACCGGACGAGCAATGCTGAGGTTAGGTACAGAGTTTTAAGTAATCGCGGTCTACCGCTGGGGTAAGTGAACGACCTCCATAGAATACATTAGTTGGGGCGTGTGTTATGCATGCCACCAAGTGGATTGCCACGGTGCGCGGTGTTTGTCGAGACAGGTAGTGGGTAGAAAAACCACAAGGGTAGTCAAAATAAGACATGGCATGAGAGTATGAAAACCCTGACCAGGAGACTCGGTCATGTAGGTCGCATGGGGCTCCCTGGATATGGACCTCGGGATCATTGTAGTCAATGTGACCATTGATTAGAAACACTGAGTGATATGGCCGAGTGTCGTGATCAGTGGTGCTCTCGCATCTTCCCAATTCCTTTGCAACCTTAGTCCATCGGAATTTTCCATTTTTTCTTTTGCACTGGTTTCATCTTTCCAATCATCCTTCTACCACTTCGTGTAAATTGGTAGACAAGAGAGCAACTAGAACTACCGCATGAAAGTGCTTTTGGTTAACGGTTGTAAAAAGTTAAAAACTGAACTGAACTCATAGTCATCCAGCCTCCCAAGGCCGCAGTATGGTTGGGGGTGGGTGTCTAGGGTTGCGGCTGGTCACCCTGCCCTTGCACCTCACGAAATGCCCCCATACGACCAAGCGTCTCAAATAGCCTCTGCTGAGGAAGCCCTACTCACTGCCTTCTAGCGGCGGAGGTGTTTTCCCACCAAAGTGAGAGGACGAAAAGCCGATATCCGGGGCTATAGCCGGGTTGGTGGACCACTGGCAGTTCATCTAGGGGAGTTGGCTAAAACCCTGATTCCAAACCAACCATGAGGAGACGTACGAACCACACCGACACCTTTTCGGTTGTGGCAGTGGTCACCGGCTCGATTGGGCATTGAGG